TAAAGAGGTCAAAGGATTTGCCTGAGATAGCACAGTGAGTGTCTGGCTCATGTTGGAAGGCAGGCCTTCCAGCTTAATAGCACCAAGTTCTGCCACAGCACATGGCTCATCCTACCTAGCCTGACCTTCCTCTCTAATGCACTGTAAATTGGGAGTGACTGTACTCAAGTCACTAGGATTACAATGGTGTGTTCCAGTGTAGGTGCTACTGAAATCTGAATAATAACTGTGTACACCATAGGCACATGCATAAAAACACAACCCTGTCAATGGTGACACAACACCAGGGGAGCATGCAATCTGTGTCCATTCCCCAGGTTATCATTTGCTCTATAAGAGTCTGTTTCTAACATAGTTTAAATATAGACCTGTGAGAAAACACAACTGCCAAATACACCGATGCACTGCTGGTTACCTGCAGACAGTCTCAGTAATGCCCTTTTGAAACCTCAGTGGGCAATAACTACATTATATGACTGACCCAACCAAGTAAGATTCAGGTAGATGACTTGAAGCAACAAGTTAAATTGATTATTGCCCACTTTTTCCTGCGTGAATTCAAATTCAAAAGTCTTAAATACCCTTCTCCATCTGGTGATTAAGCAACATAGTATTGAACCACATTTATTACAGTGTGTTCTTGTGTATGTCAAGTCATGATGCAGGTTGCAAATGATGCCACAATACACAGGAGGGTTGATACATTCAGTGATGTTGTATTCACACATACATTATGCCACGTGTGACAGCCAGATCGGGTTTGTTTACCTTATTTTTTCCTTGGCTGGGCCTTGCTTGCTTTATTATAGAATTAACCAGTTTTATAAGAGAAAAGCTCAAGGCATAAGCCTGTGAACTGCTAACATTACCAGAGAGGCTTTATCCCTGTCATTTTCCTTGGATTGCTGTAGGGATGGAGAGTGCTTCCCTGTTTCACAATTACAGTATTGACAATCGGTGTGAGCCTCTTCAAAAACTAATCATCTCTTTTCCTCAGCCCTCCATGTAATATATAATAATGTCCCGCTCCACAGAATAATAGGCTTTGGTAAGACCTCAAGCTCAAAATTAACAATTGTGCAGAATTTCCAAGGAAAAGGAAACAAACCTTTTGTGCCACCCTGGGCTCATTTCATAACACAGGAACTACCTTGGCATGTCTTATCATTCTACCTCCTTCAGAGTTTAAATCACTTTCATTAAAACTTTTTATCTAGTTATTGATTTGTTCCTAGCAGGGCTTCTTATGCAGCCACAGAGGTAACCTGTGCCTAAATATACTCCTTTCTCCTAGAACAGGCCTGAATGATTGACCATTAGTAGATGCTGATGAAGTCCCTAAGGGACCTTGTTGTCATGACACCATGGAGACAGAAATTATGAAACTAAGTTGAATGGTGAGGCCTCATGTGGTCTTTGGTAACAGTGCAATTCACAGTTTTCTGCATTTCCAATTTTCTGGTCTGCATTGCTAATTATTAAACACAGAAGAGTAGGGAAAAACTCTCTGTTGCTGTTAATCTCACTGGTGATTGCACATCAATCCAAGCATTGGCTTTGAAGCTGCCTAGAGAAAGGGTCTTACTGAGAGATGTGCTGCTAAAGCTGCAGCATTTGGATCCAGTTTTCATTCAGGCCTAAGTTCTTCTCCTATTTATGACAAAATTGATTCTCAGGCCTAAGTGAAAAGTGGCATGGCCAGGCATTGCAGAAACTGGTTTCTATAAAAGTTTAGCTCATGCAAAAATCAACATCCTGTGCACTTTGAGCAAGAAATTCCAAAATTAGGCCCACCTCCATATCATACCCTTTCTAGGATGGGACATGCACCTTATTCCCACGTGTCCTTTTCCTACTGTTCAACATGGATGTTAATTTGTGGCAGAAGGCAATGAATATATCTGTGAAAATAATGTAATGTTCCTCTAATCTGTTTATGAAGTACAGGACAAATAGAGGTCCAGTTTTCCTATCCTGTTCTGAATAATGTTTTCTCCCTTGTTGCTACTAAGCCTTTTCCCACTTCTTGGTGATGGCTGTTATATATAGGACTACACCTCTAGCTTCATACATGACACCCACAGTTGCTCAAGTTGGCATATTATTGATTTGTATAAAAAAGACAAACAAGTTTAAAGAAGACAAGAAGTTTAAAAAAACCCAGAAAAAATAAACTTTATAATAAATCGTTCTAGTAAATTTTGTTAAAAGTTTGGTAAAAAGCAATGGTGCAGTTATTAACATTCAGCTAATGTATTTGACTCCAAAGTCTATGAAGTATACCGTTCCTGGTCAAATGTCAGAAACCTGCTCCATGCTTGTTTACCACTACTGTCTCATTCTTGCTAGTGTATCTTATTAATGCCATTAATCCTTATTTTTCTCCATATACTCTGGGGCTTTTTCTGTTTCTATGTAATATTTGACATTTCCCAGTCCTACAATATCAGCAATAATTCTTCTTGCTCTTGTACTGGAGACTTAACATTGCCAGCCTTGACACAAGCTCGAACACATGCATAGTTGATGGAAAAAATCCTCCCCCGAAGTCAGCCCACCCGCTGTGAGCAAACCCATAATTACTACACTGAAGACAAGTCGTGGAATTTAGATGCTCTCCCCAGACCAGCAGAATCTTTATTTTCTGTTGTTGTTTTTATTTTAAAAAACCTGCAGGTCAGCAGAATTCCTGCTGGCGATTAAAAGAACTAGAGTTAGATCCTGCTGTGAGTGATGCCATTTCTGATTTGTAGACAGATCATTTATCTTGGCACTTCAGGCACTTCCTTCCCCCCCACCTGTATTATACTCCAGAATTCAAGAGCTTGCACTACAGTGCTCAGATAGGGGATAATAGAACTGAATAAATGTTTGTGCTCAATATGGTGTTCCATAAATCAGGCTCTGACACTGTTTTTTTCTACTTTATGGAAGAATCAGGCTGGCTACCAACTTCAGACATTTATTTTTTGGATTGGGGTCAGCAATGTTTTCCAGCTGGGGGGGGAGTTGGGGGAGGATTGCCAGAATGACCCAACTCAGTTGGAGACAGACAGGCATTAAGACTCAGCCACCACTGGGCATTTGTGCCCACCACTCTGCTCAGCTGCAGCATGAAGAAGCAAAAGCTGTGCTTCTGCCAAAGGCAGCTGTGCTGTCCAGCTGTGGCAGGGCACAGACAGAGCTCCCCCTCCACTGAACCCCCAGGTAGCTGCCTGCAGCTTGACACAGGGAGAGCCCCTGTGGGCTGGATCCAAAGGCTCCGTGGGCCACAGGTTGCTGACTCCTGCCCTAAATGCAAGTCAGGTCAGGATGCAGTGGAAGGGGCTTTTGTGAAGAGAATGTCAATCCAGCACTGACACAACTATACACAGACATGTATACACCCACTACACAAAGGTAGCAGAGGCCGCAGCAGAACAAACTTTCCCATGGCACTCTGCTAATAATCCTCAATTCAGAGGGTTTTTTGGAAATGAAAGGGTCAGGAGGATGTCTCAGGCTTGAGTTGTTAGTTTCTCTGACTCTGCGGACAAATATCCATACGCAATCCTGAAGACTAAAAGTAGCTTTAAAGAAAAGGTAAACACACATGCTGAGTTGATGGCATTCAGGAAATTCATTTATTTGTCAATTTAATTGACAAATAAATTGCAGTGTTTCATTGGTCTCCATCAGCTGTTCAAACTATGATTTATTCACAGTAGCAAGATTAAACCATGTGTTGTAATAGCTACAAAATATTTACATTGACTTCCAGTAACTTGCCGCTTATTTTCAGAGAGCAGGAA